TAATAGAAGCTCAGCTAAAAAGCTAATGGCTCAAGTCAGAAAAGATAGCCAAAAAACTACCAACATCATCAGCATAGTTAAACAACAGTTTCAAAGAAGCAAGAAATGAAATGCTTGTGCAGAACAAGAGAACACAATGAAGGAAATGCACTAACACAGAAAAATTGCCAGATGTCTATAAAGGATACAGCAAAGAAAGGATTACTATTTAAGCTTTAAACAGTTCAGGACCTGCCTATCTGCGCGACTGCCTCCTCCCCTGTGAGCCCATATGATCCTTAAGATCTTCCAGGGATTCTCTTCGCTCACTCCCACCCCCGTCGCAGGTGCGGTTGGTGGGGACGAGAGGGAGGGAATTTTTGGTGGTGGCCCATCTCTGGAACTCCCTCCCCAAGTAGATTAGGCTGGCACCCTCCCTAGCCACATTCTGCAAGAAATTAAAGCCGTGGATGTTTCGTCGTGCCTTCGACTGATGACTCCTTTGACATACAACCTGTATCATGATCTGAATTATCATTCAATCTGAATTCCTATATTACATTACTAGATATCCTTAAGTTGAGTTGAATTGAGCCTGTTAAATTGCTCAGTTTCCATGTTATTTCCTATGCTGTTATACATTGCTATCCTCCTTATTGAACCACCTTATCTTTTAATACAGCTCGCATAGTGGTCCTTGTCCGGTGGGGAGGGGGGGATAAGGACCACTAAGGTAGACTCATTTTGGAGGGGGGCTCCAAAATTAGTCTGCTGTTACTCTTGATGTTTGCTATTATTGTTACGCTGTTTTATGCTGTTTTATGCTGTTTTGATTTGTTATTGTGTTGCTTTTAATTGTATTTTGCCCTGGGCTTGGCCCCATGTAAGCCGCCCCGAGTCCCTTCGGGGAGATGGAGGCGGGGTAAAAAATAAAGTTCTTCTTCTATTTATTTATTATTTATTTCGAGAATTTATATCCTGTCCTTTTCACCTCCGAAGAGGGACTCAGGAAGGCTTACAACAAGCAGCCATTAGATTTATTTATTTATTTATTTACTTTGCTTATATACCGCTGTTCTCAGCCCGCGGGCGACTCACAGCAGTGTACAACATAGGAAGAACAAAGTTCAAAATTCAAGACATAATATAAAATAATCCACAATCCAGCATTAAACAAAAAACATCATCATAAAAAAAATCATTACTACGAAAGCCATTCCGCGTCATCTCATCGTCCAAACCACAATCCAGTATTATTTTCCGTTGTTCCATTCCTATAGTCATTACCAATCATTGCACTTCTTGTTCGAACGCCTTCTTGAACAACCAAGTCTTTAATTTCCTGTGGAATATCATCAGGGAAGGAGCCAGTCTGATGTCCACGGGAAGGGTGTTCCACAGCCGAGGAGCCACCACCGAGAAGGCCCTATCTCTCGTCCCCACCAGGCGTGCCTGTGAGGCAGGCGGGATCGAGAGCAGGGCCTCCCCGGAAGATCTCAAAGTCCTGGTGGGCTCGTAGGTCGAGATGCGGTCAGATAGGTATCTTGGGCCGGAACCGTTTAGGGCTTTATAGGCCAACGCCAGCACCTTGAATTGAGCCCGGTAGCAAATCGGCAGCCAGTGGAGCTGGTACAACAAGGGGGTTGTATGCTCCCTGCGTCCCGCTCCTGTTAGTATCATGGCTGCCACACGTTGGACCAAGTGAAGCTTCCGGGCCGTCTTCAAAGGCAACCCCACGTAGAGAGCGTTGCAGTAGTCTAAACGGGATGTAACCAGAGCGTGGACTACCGTGGCCAAGTCAGACTTTCCAAGGTACGGGCGCAGCTGGCGCACAAGCCTAAGCTGTGCAAATGCTCCCCTGGTCACCGCCGAGACCTGGGGCTCCAGGCTCAGTGATGAGTCCAGGATCACACCCAAGCTGCGAACCTGCCAACACAGTATATTAAAATCTTACTAAGGAAAGATAAGGAAATTGTAGTGAAGCTAAATGAATTTCTTTAATTCATATCTGAAAAAGCAGACATAGAAAAGACACCCACATCTGAATTGGTGTTTGCGGGAAAGAAATCTGAGAAAGATATCTGAGAAGCAAATATTATTGTGGGTGGGAAACTGAGAAAACAGCATTCTTACAAATATAGTTTTGGAAAGTGAGGTGCCCTATGGTAGAGAATGCCTTTGTTTCCTTGAAGGGTTTACATTGGAAAAGTTCCTGTTTTCTTGTTTATAGATTTATGTTTGAAGAACTGCTGTGGATTTTGGTTCTCTTGAATTCATGTACTTTGACATTTTTGGAATACTGCTGTTTTCTATTTTCCAGTCTTCTGACACTTTTGGAAATGCTCCTTTTCCCTTTTTACCTGCTTTCTTCAACAAACATTCTTAGATAGAACTATTGGACTTTGGTGTGGTTCTGGGTGAAAAGATGTTTCAGTGCGAGAGTGCAACACAGTCTAATAATAATAAATAACATTATTGAATCTGCAAAGAGGACTAAAGTAAGTATAAGCATTCAGCAACTTTGGTAAAGCCAGGAGAACATAATGTGTTTTTAAAACCAATCCTTTTTCTTTGGCCCGATCACCATAAGGAAGACACTGGAAGTGGGATTTAACAACATCCAACGGGCAGTAGTAGGTGTCCAATATATTTAGGTGAGAATATATATAAAGAGATGTACTTGTTAATCTGGATTATCTGGCAGTGTAGAGTCATGTAATTCATTTCAAAGCACATATACCACATTCAAAGTGCCTGTCTGGGGAACACAACTCTGAACAAAGCCAACTTCCAAAGAAACCCCAAAATAAGAAGAAATAACAAATGGGATCTCTTTGAGATGAGAGATTTAATTACACTTAACTTTCCTTCCCAAGATAATCCTATTAGCAGCATAACCAATGAGAATAAAAACAGATTTAGAGGAGGAGAAAGAGAGTGAAGCATAGGAAAATGAACTTTCTCTCTCTCTCTCTCTGCTTGCATATCTTGGTCTGTTTTAAAACATAATTCTGTCCAAGAGATATTGATGGTGTTGGTGTATTTTACATTGTTTCAATGTGACCAATAATACTAAATTTTTCCAAATTAATCTATTAACAGAATGAAAAGAACAAGATGTCATGTTGGGTGATGGTGAAAAAACAGGATTTGGGCCCACAGATTGGAGATACAGAACAGGTCCTAGAACAAGTCACCCAGGTAAGAACCTTGGAAGACATGTATCCAGGCTTTTCCCCAGTTTACTGGGGCAGACTTCTCTTGCATAGTGACCACTTTCAGGAAAATAGTATACACAATACAGTCCTGGCAGAGTCACTAACACAATAAGAATTTCATTTGGAATGATAGGAAGGCCAACTTTCAGTGAATCGAATGAAGTTTATTATTTAAACTGACAAGTTCTCACAACAATTGTATCTCTTAAATTATTTTAAAATGTTTATTTACATTTTATTTCATAGTTGGTTTTATTGTTATATGTATGGTTGATTTGTATGGTTTTTAAAATGTTTTGAGCCACTTTGGGTCCCATTTAGGAGGAAAGTGGGATATAAATAAAATATATTATTATTATTATTATTATTATTATTATTATTATTATTATTATTATTATTATCACAACAAGATGAGTCCACAGCAGATACTCTGCTGGCTGTTGAATTGGATCACACATCGGACACTTCCCAATTATCTAGAACTGTGTGATGTATCGGTGAATAATGCGTGCAGATCCCTGTAAGGTGGTCTTCTGCAGCTGGCAGATGGTAATTTTGTCAGCACCGATTGTGTTTAAGTGCAGGCACTGCACCAACTGTGCCGATCACTGCTGGGACCACCTTTACTGGCTTGTGCCAGAGTCTTTACAGTTTGATCCTTAAATCCTCATATCGTGTCACCTTTTCCAGTTGTTTCTCTGCAATCCTGCTGTCACCTGGGATTGCGACATTGACGATCCATACTTTCTTTTTTAACACGATTGTGAGGTCAGGAGTATTGTGCTCCAAAACTCTGTTTGAATTTGGAAGTCCCAGAGTAGCTTGACGTGTTCATTCTCTGTAATTTTTTCTGGCTTGTGATCTCACCCGTTCTTAGTTGCAGGCAGGTGGTCTTTGTGGCACAAGTTCCAATGAATCATGTGAGCAATGGTGTTATGCCTCTGCTTGTAGTCTGTCTGCGCAATCTTCTTGCAGCAGCTGAGGATGTGATCTATTGTTTCATCTGCTTCCTTGCAGAGTCTACATTTGGGGTCTGTTGTTAACTTTTCAATTCTGGCATTATTATTATTATTATTATTATTATCATTATCATTATCATTATCATTATTATCATTATTATTAGATACACAACAAGATTAGTACACAGCAAACAAGATCGCTATGCTGGCTTTTATATTTGATCACACATTGGACACTTCCCATGTATCTAGGACTGTGTGATGTATAGGCAACATTGCTACTAGAGTATCTTCCTGATCCTATGAACACTGCCATATAATGCAGATAGGGCCCTTGTCTTCATCCTCCTGTACACATTGTGGTCTGGACACAGCTCCTACTGCAGCTGAGAAACATAGAATGTTTAAGAGAGCTCTGCCACTTTTCTAAATGCATGGGTTGCTGTAGTGTGCTTTTCAGATCTAGGGGAACCTTAAGGTGAACCTATCACAGGGTTTTCTCAGAAACATTTCTTCAAAATGGTTTGCCATGACCTTCCTCTGAGAGTGTATAATTTTCCAAGATCACCCATGAGTTTCCATGGCAAAGTGAGGATATAAAAACAGATCTGCCGGAGAAGTAGACCAACCCACAACACACTATACTACTTTAGCTGCACTACATCCATACATAGTGAGAATTCTTTAAACTGAAAAATTTGTGGAAAAATAAAGCAAAACAGAATGAGACAAATTCTCTTTATGATTGAGTTATATTACAGGTGTGCCTCAGGTTCTAAGCATAGGAAAGAAATTTGGAAAATGAAATGGGGTGTGGATTTGGTTCAAAAGTACTTCAATAAAATATATGTTATTGCATTTATTTTTGTATGTTTTATGATGAAATACAGCGAGGAACAGCACACACTTTATAAGGATGGGGTGGTGTAGTCAGTCCTGCTGTAGGATCTTCATTGAGTTCTTTGACTCCTGGAGGCAGCTGGAAACGGAAGGCTCTCAGAAGGTTGACCAAGAAGATGAAGAACTCCATCCTTGCCAGATGTTCCCCCAAACACGCCCGAGCCCCTGCAGTGGAAACAAAGGCAGAAAGTGTGCTTGTATCCCATTCAGCAAACAGAGATGGATTGAAAACTGGTCTATGGATTGGAAAGCCATGATCCACTCCACCCTCTTAAAGTAACCGATCCGTTTCAAACTACAAGAGAAGCCATTCTGCCTAAGCATTGGAAAGAACTTATTTGGAAGTGTGGAGTAAATTGGAATAGATTACACTGAAAGATGGTGACCACTCCATCATTGGGCAATGGTAAACAAAGGTTGAAAGGGTATCCTTCAGGAGTGCTTTAGTTGTGTATGCCTTGCAATCCTTTCTGTTTCTTTCATGTGTTTTCTCCCTGGCATGAATAAGATAGAGGTATAACGAGGGAAGGGGGAGGCAATTTGTTTTCAATTAAGATTAAAGCAGCAACAATTTTGGTGTTATTACCTGTCAGAAAGAACATAGTGAGGAATGAAGAGAGGGAAGAGTAACTGATGTGCAAGCTAAGGGCACCTAAAGCCACTTCACTGTAAACACTTCAACTTTATGGTTCTTAATTGCACCATAATTGCAATAATTTTTTTGCTGCCTTGATGATTAAGTGCTGCAGAGCAGCAACTACACAGGCTCACAAAGGACAGAGGCTGCAGCAGATCTTATCATGAAACTCCCCAGAAGACACATTGATAAATCAGAAGCCACTTTGAATTACTTTTACCTGCACCAAATGCCAGATACTCTTCTCTAGCAACAAAATGTCCATTCTGATCCAAAAAATGGTTTGGATTGAACTCTTTAGGAGACTCCCAGTGCTCAGGATCAAGAAGAACAGAGCGTATATTTGGTATAATGGCTGTTCCCTGAAAGGCAGAAACAAATGTCAAACAGGCACATACACATCTCTCTTAAGGCCTTTCTACACAGGCTCTAAAATGCAGAAGGAACTGGGATGAAAGGGGGAATGGCTAAATGGCATTTGCCTAAAATATGGGTTGGATTGCATTAAAGTCCAAGACATACGTGTTAAAATGGCGAGCTAAAAATCCAAAAACTGTGCATATCCTCATGACTGTTTATTCTTGCACTCAGGAAAACATATGGCTTCCTTCTTATATACTGGTGTGGACTGCTCCAGTCCTGAAAGAGCTGATGAGGGCTGTAAACAAATGGACACGCAGGTGGCTAAATGGAAGCACAATTGGAAAGCAATTCCCATGAGTACACTTTGGGAATTCCTTTGTTCTGATGTTTATAAAATTAGAAATTGAATGTATACAGTGGGCACCAGGATGGCAGGCAAGTGACCCCAAAGGGAAACAGAGTTCACAAAAGAAAAAGTAAAGGAAGCAGGAGTGTGAGGAGAAATAAAGAGTGACAGGAAATCTGCTTGTGTGCACATTCAGATATCTCCATTAGTGCATATGAGGTCCAGCACACCTCAATGTGTCAATTTGAAAAAATAAAAGTAAACTTCCACTGGATGTCTCCTGCCCATCTTGAAGATTTCTAAAATCCGCTACAAACATGTCAGGACAGCTGTCATTTACCAGAACTGACAGCTCCATGCCTGGACTTGCTATCAGATACCATGATTTTTCGGCCCACTTATTTCTCCTGGATAATGAGGTTGTCTGGAAGTACACTTAGAAATGAGGATTTCATGGGAATGGGCTGTCTGATTACTTGTCTTAAAACTTGAAGCACACTACTAGCAATAAAATGTTGGCTTTTGAACAGTAAAAAAAAAACTTCCAAGGAAGGAGCTTTCACCACACTCGTACTTAATGTTCATGTGGAACCTCCTTTTCTGTAATTTGAACCCATTGCTCCGAGTCCTAGATTCCAGGGAAGCAGAAAGCAAGTCTGCTCCCTCTTCTTTATGGCATCATTTCACATAAAGGGTAAACCTTTTCAATCTTCTCTTCTGCAGGCTAAACTTGCACAGTTCTTTAAGATGATCCTCATAAGGCATGGTCTCCAGACCTTTGATTATTTTAGTTGCCCTCTTCTGGACACCTTCCAGCTTGTCAATATCTCTTTTGAACTGTGTTGACCACAATTGGACACAGTATTCTGTGAGGTCTAACCAAAGCAGAATAGGGAGGCACCATAACTTCCCTCGATCGGGACACTATACTCCTTTTGATGTAGCTGCTGCATCACAGAGCTGGCTCATGTTCAATTTGCTGTCCACAAAGATTCCAAGATCTTTTTCACATATACTGTTGTCGAGCCAGGCATCAACCATACTGTATCTTTGCATTTCATTTTTTTCTGCATAAGTGTTGCATCTCTTGATGTCCTAACAAGGCACCATGTGATCAGCAAGAAGGATGAGGTTGCTTTACTCCCTCCATGTTAATTGCATATAATGACCTCTGCAGTGGTGGCTGTTGTGGCTAGATGCTCGCAGGGAGCTCCATGGCTGAGAAGGAGCAGCAGTTGAGACACATAGGACAAGGGATGAAGTTTGCCTCCACTGGACCATCTAGACACCAATACAGGATCAGAGAGCAGATGGGCAGATGAAGTTTGCCTCCACTGGACCATCTAGACACCAATACAGGATCAGAGAGCATTCAGCCCATTTAGTCCAACGGGCGGCAGCCATGATACTAACAGGAGCGGGGCGCAGGGAGCATACAACTCCTCTGCTGCACCAGCTCCACTGGCTGCCGATCTGCTACCGGGCTCAATTCAAAGTGCTGGCGTTGGCCTTTAAAGCCCTAAACGGTTCTGGCCCAACTTACCTATCCGAACGTATCTCAGCCTATCAGCCCACCAGGACCCTAAGATCTTCTGGGGAGGCCCTGCTCTCTATCCCGCCTGCTTCACAGGTGCGGCTGGCGGGGACGAGAGACAGGGCCTTTTCTGTGGTGGCCCCTCGGCTTTGGAACGCCCTCCCCATAGAGGTAAGATCAGCCCCCTCGCTGATGGTGTTTTGAAAAAGATTGAAGACATGGATGTTCAAACAAGCATTCGGTTAATCCGGTGCAATGAATTTGATGATCAAAGGACTGGTAATCACAGACGACGAAATTGGATTGCGATTTTAGTTAAGAGATGCATTGGATTGTTATTGGTGGCCCAATACTGTGTACTGTGTATGTGTTTTTTATGCTTTTTAAATTGAATATTGTTGATTGTTGTAGTGTTGTAAACCGCGTTGAGTCGCCAATTTAGGCTGAGAAACGGCGGTATACAAGCGCAGTAATAAATAAATAAATAAATAAATAAATAAATAATATTTAATTCAGTCATCATCACATGTGGTCACACTTGCACGCACAGAAGTGTATTCAGTAGCCTATTTTGGAGACTAACACAAGTTTGCTTAGGACCTCTTCAGACAGGGCATTTTAGTCCCATTTTGCTGCTTTTATTCACAGCAAGGACAGGACCTGCCATGTGCCATCACACAACGCATGGCAGATCTCGCCCACATTCCTCCCAAAGTGGAGGGGAAGTGCCAATGGAGCTACCTGAATTTACCTCCCCTTTTCCCTGTCTGATGGGGGAAAGAGTGGTGGGGCAATGTGATAACGCACACAGCCCCATCCCCACCATATGATGGGGGAAGAGCACGTGGGGCACTTTGAGTCACCACAAGTGCCTTCCCTTTCACCACTGACTGCCAGCAAAATGGCACAGCCTGGAATAGCCACAAGTAGAGGTCTTTATTCCAATTTATGAATTGTTATGCCTGTTTAGACACCACATTTTTGAGTTAAATCCACGCTGAGTGATCAATGTAGATGAAGCCCAAATCCATTGTTCGAACCACTACTGCACGCTGGCTCTATCTATGTGGGTAAATCTCTCAAAATCTTCTCTCTCCCAGCCTTGTTCTTGGGATACAGAAGTGCATATTTACATTCTCTACCTTAGGGATGAGAAAACCTCTCATCTTCACATCTTTGGCAGTTTGTCTTGGGACCCCAAATAAAAGGGGATATTTTGAACGCTGAATCTCATGAAGCACAGCATTTGTATAAGGGAGCTTCTTCAGATCTTGATAGCTGAAGGAAGAGGAGCACAACACATCTTCTATTTCCTTATAGGTTTTATCTGTGGAAAAAGGGGGAAATTGATTTTTTAATTTATTGCGTCAGGAGCAACCAGACAATTGTATTACAGTTTAAACAAACAAACAAACAAAACTCAAAGTTTTCAAGCTTGGTAGTTAAAATCTGCCAAGAAGTAGCAGCCTGTAATGAAAGGACCAAGGCAGTGACATCTCTGGCCCATCCTCTGTTCAGATATCGGCCAGCAAGCCAATGCTTGAATCAAGAAATAGCTTCTTAACATCTACAGAGATACTTGCAGGAACACATCAACATCCGAGAGTCCAAAAGTGGCAGCTTAAAACCCGGAACCTCAATCGGTGGCTGATAAAAGATGAAAAACTCCCCCCTGGGAACATAAAAAACTGGGCAACTTGGAAAGCGCTGAACAGACTGTGCTCTGGCACCAGGAGATGCAGAGCCTATCTGAAGAAATAGTTCCACAAAGTGGAGTCCACGACATGCAAGTGTGGAGAAGAGCAAACCACAGGCCACCTTCTAAATGCAACCTGAGCCCTGCCACATGCACAATGGAGGACCTTCTCACAGTGACATCAGAGGCACTCCAAGTAGCCAGCTTCTGGCCAAAGGACATTTGGTATAATGCCAAGTATTTTACTATATTCGCTTATGACAAGATAAATAAATAAAGTGTACGTAGGTTTTCTGTAAACTGTTGTCCCCTGACAACAGTTTACAATTGGTGGCACAGTGGGTTAAAGTGCTGAGCTGCTGAGCTTGTTGACCAAAAGCTCACAGGTTCGATTCCCAGGAGCAGCATGAGCTTCCACTGTCAGCTCTATCTTTTGCCAACCTAGCAGTTCGAAAACATACAAATGTGATTAGATCAATAGGTACCGCTATGGCGGGAAGGTAACGGCGCTCCATGCAGTCATGCCAGCCCCATCACCTTGGAGGTGTCTATAGACAACGCCGGCTCCTTGGCTTAGAAATGGAGATGAGCACCACCCCCCAGAGTCAGACATGACTGGACTTAATGTCAGGGGACAACCTTTACCTTTGTACCACATTCATAGAAACAATAGAGCTAGATATGATTTTCTTTCTTCTTTGATTGAGCACATTGTTAAAAAGAACAAGGATGTTGTTCTTGCTGCACAGTGTTCTCTCTTACCTTGAATATCTGGATGATTTGCCAAAAGGAGGATTGCCCATTTCAGAGAAGTGGCAGTTGTTTCTGTTCCAGCAACAAATAAGTCATGAATATCCTGAGCCAGGTTCTCTTCGTCATATGTAGAGGTAGGATCATTCTTCCTCTGGTGGTGACAATATGAAAGATGAAGTATGATTTATGATTGACTACAAAGCTTCTTTTCAAGGCTGTGTTTATATGTGTGCGCATGTGTCTTCATGTTGGCTATTGATTTATTGCAACCCGTGTATTTTGAAGGGTTTTTAAAGGCAAGGAACACTAAGGCATGGAAGCACTATATTATTCTACTGGTGAAACAAGTTTTGTAACTCTGTGAATTTGGGTGCTGTTTCAACAGCAGGGCTCCTAGCCAAGGATTTCTTGGCAGGACTGAGGTGCTGATCCAGGAGATATGTCTATACTATGCAGCTCTGCTCTCTCTCTGGTCTGGAATGTAGTGAGAATGCTTTAGGGCTGGGGCTTTACATTAGCAGGGGGGTTGTTCCTTTGTGACATCCATTTCTATCTCCCCCATCCCAGAGGTATTCACTGCTGTGCTTTTCCCCACCATGTGCTATTAACATGTTGATAGATAAGGAAAAAATTAATACAACTATGATATTAGCAAACACATTCTAAATTTAGGTAAAGGTAAAGGCTTTCCTCTGACATTAAGTCCAGTCGTGTCTGACTCTGGGGTGTGGTGCTCATCTCCATTTCTAAGTCGAAGAGCCGGCATTGTCTGTAGACACCTCCGAGGTCGTGTGGCCAGCATGACTGCATGGAACGCCATTACCTTCCCACTGTAGTGGTACCTATTAGTTTACTCACATTTCCATGTTTTCGAACTGCTAAGTTGGCAGAAACTGGGGCTAACAGCTGGAGCTCACACTGCTTCTCGGATTCAAACCTGAGACCTTTCGGTCAGCAAGTTCAGCAAGTCAGCGGTTTAACCCACTGCATCACCAGGGGCTCATATTCTTTTAAAAAAAACCCTACTGATCTACTTTAAACTAGTAAGTCATAAATTACACCAAACAAAAACAAAATAGAAAAAATAAAACGTGCCTATAAACATACATACACACATAGCATATATATTAGGGCTGTGCAAAAAATTGCTTGTGTCTCGTTTGTGCCTTGTCTGTCATATCTATTTTGTAAGATCTATACAGATGAGAGAATATTAAGAAACGCAGGGGTGCCCATGCAAAAAACTTAATGAAACACCTATTCAGTAAACCTCATAAGTCTTCAAAAGTTAATTCTCATTTTCAGCACAAGCAGCAAACTGTACCAGTTTGAATTCCTCTTTGAATTAAGAAGAGCCAGGTTACCTGTCACCATTGGGAGAGCAAGCGAGCTGGGAGGGGAACTGAGAATTCAGGAAAATGTAAGTTTGGGAAGCCAAGGACCCCCACGGCAGAGAAAGCCCTGCCCTAAATTACATTTCCCAGAATTCTGCTCACATCAGACAGTCCCAATGAGATAGGAGAGAGCTATTGTCCATCCATAGCAGCAGCCAGCCACACAGTTTAGAATTTCAATAAATTATTGAATCTGCAAAAAGGACTGATAGTAAATCTATGCTGGACTGGGAGGTTGTTGTTGTTGTTGTTCATTCGTTCAGTCGTCTCTGACTCTTCGTGACCTCATGGACCAGCCCACGCCAGAGCTCCCTGTCGGCCGTCACCACCCCCAGCTCCTTCAAGGTCAGTCCAGTCTCTTCAAGGATGCCATCCATCCATCTTGCCCATGGTCGGCCCCTCTTCCTTTTACCTTCCACTTTCCCCAGCATAATTGTCTTCTCTAGGCTTTGCTGTCTCCTCATGATGTGGCCAAAGTACTGGGAGGAGAACCCCTTAATTGACGTTCTATGGTATGTGTTGTGTGTGTCATATAGAGACATTCAAAGGGATGGCTGTTGTGGCTTAAAAATTTTTTTTGACATTTTTTAAAAATTTCCCCCAAAATCAGTAGATGTGCAAATCTTTCTGAACTTTGGGGGGAATTATGCCCTGATTATCTTGTGTCTCTGTAGACAAAATCAAGGAGAACACTCTTGTAGTTTGTTTGTTTTTTTAAAAAAAATGCTGTTTGTAAAAAAAACTGTTAAAATTCCTCCCAACTTGGTGTGTGTGTGGGGGGGGGGGGGTGGGTAACAGTGGTAAATGTATTCTACAATTGTAGAAAGTGTCATGCCGATAGGGAGAAAGGAGTCCCTGAAGTTTTCCCATTGGTACAATTACAAAAAAGTAATGAAAAATTGTTATATCGTTATGATTATGATAGTCCCCTAATTTGAATGCCACCACCAGACAAAGATATCTCAAAAAAAAAATAAAAATAGGTGGTCAGGTCTTTCCCTATGGGCTTATTAGAGGAGAATTTTTGCAGTCAACCATCTTTGCCAGGTCTGCATATCCACAGATTCTGACTCAATGGATTCAACCATCCAAAGTTGATAAAGAAAATATATACACACACACACAATTGTAAAGCATGGAATTTGAACATTATAATATAATAATAATAAAACTATTTGTACCCCGCTACCATCTCCCCAAGGGACTCGGTGCGGCTTACATGAGGCCGGGCCCACAATACATCAGCAAAAACAACAACAGCAATACAAAACAATAAAATGAAACTCATAAATAAAAAACAATCAGTAAACATTAACAATAGTACGACGACGCTTAAAAACCTATGGCTGGGCCAAATGTAATAATTATTTTTTAAAAAAAATAATGCTGAGGTGAAATATATAACTAGAATAGAATTTCAGAGAGGAAAGGGTGTGCAGACAATCCTAGATCATTGATAAAGTGTATTTAGGGACATATTGCTGGGAGTTTCCTTATTCTGGGAAGGCACACTGGAACAACCATGTTTTCAGGCTCCTCCTAAATACTGCCAGAGTTGGGGCATGTCTGATGTCCTAGGGGAGTGAGTTCCAGAGTCGAGGGGCCACCACCAAGAAGGCTCTCTCTCTTGTCCCCACCAATCGTGCCTGCGATGGAGGTGGGAGCGCGAGCAGGGCCTCTCCAGATGATCGAAGAGATCGTGTGGGTTCGTATACAGAAATGCGGTCACGAAGGTAGGCAGGTCCCAAACCATTTAGAGCTTTTTAGGTAAGAACCTGCACCTTGAATTGGAACCGGAAAATGAACGGCAGCCAGTGGAGCTCCTTAAGCAGGAGGGTTGACCACTCCCTGTAAGGAGCACCAGTTAACAACCTGGCAGCCGCCAACTGAAATTTCCCGGCCGTTTTCAAGGGCAGCCCCACATAGAGTGCATTACAGTAGTCCAATCTGGAGGTGACTAAGGCATGGACCACCCTGGCCAGATCCGCCTTCATGAGGTATGGTCGCAGTTGGTGCACGAGTCTTAATTGTGCAAAAGGCCCTCCTGGCCACCGCCGACGCCTGAGCTTCAAGCGTCAGTGATGAGTCCAGGAGGACACCCAGACTGCGGACCTGTGACTTCAGGGGGAGTGCAAACCCGTCCAACACAGGTTGCCAACCTATCCCCCAATCCGGTTTATGATCTACCAGGAGGACCTCTGTCTTGTCGGGACCTCTGTCATTCACAGATTTTGGTATCCATGGGGATCCTGTAATCATACCACAGTGGATACCAAAGTCCCATTGCATTTCTTGGAATTGATATAATTGAACACAAAGCAGATACTTACTTTCTCTATTTCAAGCAGGTAGAAATCAATGAAATCCCGTGGCTCCTGAAAGGACATCTGCTTCTTATGTTTCTGTATTTCTTTCTTTGCTAATGAAAGCAGCATCTCTGTGGCACGCAATGCCTCTTTGTGAGGCCCTGGAAGATGCTTCATGAGCCATGGAAACATTTCATAGAGCTACAGCAAAGACAGAAGCAAAGGCCTACCATTACTAGAGCAGAGGCAATAAAATTCAGTCCATCAGCTAAAGCAGCTTTGACACACACAAGTTGCTTTAGGATAAGAACATTTATTGGTTGTGAACAAGAAATGAAGATGGTAATTGTTTGCGTCCCCCCCCCCTTCTTGAACATAAGGACAATTTTTTTTTCTTCTCCAGTCTGCTGGGACTTTTCCTGTTCTCCAAGAATTCTCAAAGATTATTACCATTGATTTTGAAATTACTTCTGCTAGCTCCTGTAATTCTCTTGGATGTAGTTCATCTGGTCCTGGAAACTTAGCCAGGTATTCCTGGACTACTTCTTGCCAGGACCTTCAGGAAAGATGAGAATGATTGGGAGAAGGGTTTCCTCCCAGCAGCAGAATCTCAGCCATGGTGGATGAGCAGCCTGACACTGTAGAGATTGCTTGCTACTGCTGAGCAAGAGCATGACCCTCCAGGAATAGAAGCATCTGAGTCTGGGCAGGATGAGGTTCTTCAGGCAAAAGAGAAAGAATTAACTCTTTTCACCCAGCTTCAGCTTAGGGTTTATGCCATCCAGCTGTAAAGGTCCAATCGGCTGGTTCAAAAGAGGATCTCACAGCTTTAAGGACTTTTCAGGAGCGGCATAAACAGATGGCATTTGTAACAGTTCTTGACTGGAAGCAATCATTGTGTTGGTGCTACAGCCGAAATCTTATTGGTGACCCTCATGCTATGAACCTCAGACCACACACTTTGGATTTTGGACTGGATTTAATAGGATCTCATAATCTTGTGGATTATGAGATCCTCTTAAATCCAGCAGGAGATGAATGCAAAATGGCTTTCAAAACCCAATATGGCAATTTTAAATATATTGTAATGCTATTTGTTCTGTATAATGCTTACACCATGTTCCAGCATTTTTTAATGACATTTTCCAAAACTTTTTGGGCCATTGTGTCATCATTTATTTTGATGGCATCATTTATTTTGATTTATTCAGCCCTGTGTCATGTATCGTGTTCTGCAGTTGATGGTGGTTGGTGAAGGAAGGGTTAATGTAAGTCTTAGTTCTAAAGGGTTGAGTAATCTGTAAGTAAGAGTTCATGGGTGAAAGCAATTAAGGGTGGAGGTATGCAAGAGATAGGTTGCAGCTGGGTGTTTCTGGATATAAGGAGCTAGCCTTGGGATTGATCTTTGGGAGAAAAGTATTTGTTTTATTTTGGTGGTAGATGCTGCTGGTTTTTCCCCAGGTGTGTGAATTTTCAGTATCCTGACCTATCACCTGAGCCCTTGGAACCCTGGAACCTTGAATCTTTGGACTGACTTTTGAGTATGGTATAGACTCTGGATCCCTGGACTTTGCTTACTGAACTCTTGGCATTTGACCACTGGATTGGACCCTTTGATGACTATGATGTAGTGTTTGCTATCAGTTTTTGTTTTGTTTTCTGTGGCCAAGTGTTATCTTTATGTTTTATATTTTGCACTATTAAAGCAACTAGAAGTGCTGTTTTAATTAAACTGCTTGATACAAACTGGGTATTTGTTTGGTTCATCTCTACCTGAATGAGGCAGAGCCCTGGCACTGTGACACCCTGACACTTCTTTATCTATTTTAGGTTGCATTTCCCCTATTCATTCCATATTCTTTAGGTTGAACACCAATCTTTTGGGAGAAGACTGAGGCAAAGAATGTGTTGAGCATTCCCTATTCACTGACTTTTCCCTATTCCCTGTTAGTGTTTCACCACCTTCTCCACACAGAGGTCTTACTGTTCCCTTTTTCTTTCTTTTTCTGTGGACATAATCAAAGAACTCCCTTATATTGTTTATAATCTCTCTGGCAAGCCTGAGAATGTTTTTCACTTTAGCCTTACAATTTTTTTCCTCACATATGTTGGTTATTTATTTGAATTCCTCTTTGGTGATTTCCCCCCCTTTTCCGTTTCTTATGCATGTCTCTTTGAAATCTTGGCTCAGTTAAATCTTCTTTGGACATCCATTCTGGTTTCTTTACACTTCTTTCTTTTTTTCTCCATGCTTGCACTGTTTGCAATTGTGCCTTCAGTATCTCACTTTTAAGAAACTCCCATACATCAGTAACTCCCTTCCCTTTGAGTATTCCTGTCCATGGAATCACGCTTAGTATTTCCTTACATTTCCTGAAGCTGACTCTTCTAAAGTCTAGAATGCATCTGACTTCTTTTTGTTTCCCCCTTCCTTTGTATCACAGACTCCAGGAATACATGGTCACTCCCACATAAGGATCCCAGCAGTTCCACTCCATTAAACAGATCCTCAGTGTTGTTTAGGATCAGATCCAGAATAGCTGATCCCCTTACTGCCTCTTCTACTGTCTGGACAACAAAATTGTCCGCAAGGCAAGTGAGTAATTTGTTGGGCTTTGTATTGTTGGCAAAGTTTGTTTTCCAACAAATATCAGAATAGGTTTGCTCCATGCTGTATGGCCAAATTTCAGGAGCATTCTCTCCTGATATTTCACCTGCATCTGTGGCTAGCACTTTCAGAGGTCTGAAGATGCTGTCCACAGATCTAGGTAAAACATCAGGAGGGAATGCTAATGAAATATGCCATACAGCCTGAAAAACTCACAGCATCCCAGTGATGCTGGCCATGAAAGCTTCAACACAAATAGCAGAACAGTTAAAATGGCATCAAACACTCCTCAGTGGCTTGAATGGTGATCTCTGGCATGCCGGGCAGGGAGGGGAAGAGGAATCCCTTTGTGCTCCCCACTCTCCCCAGAGTGCTGGATGTCACCGTTGCAGATGCCAATTTGGTGTCCTCTGGGCACTGTTACGGTCAATTAGTGTGAAGCAAGGCAGATGCCATCCTCATTCCCCAGTTTACCAATTCCCAAAGCAAAAGTGGCTCAGTTGATTAAATGGCCCCAGAGAGACCATGGACTGTAAAAAAAAAAAAAGTTCCTCAAGCAAATCTAACTCTCCTTAGAAGCCATTTAGACCCGACAGACTGTTGTTCTGTAACATTGTTTCATATCATGTCGGTAATGTAGTCCTGCCATTCTTTTGTTAGACAATGAAGCCTATAATATTTGCAGTCTGTGCTCTTTTTGTGAAAAACTGTACAAATCCCTACAATGTTTGCACACAAAGCAATGTGCATTACTGTGCTAAGTAATTTTCCAAAATTCCGTGGGATATGCACATTCAGTGTGGTAAATGCAATAATATTGCACCAACCATGAATAACTTGTTACGTTATGTAACTTTACATAGGAGAGGTGATAAGAAACAACCGAATTTTGAGATTGCAAAACAGGAAACAAGAGTGCTCAATGCTCATCAAGCATTAGACGGTGTGTCTCAACTCCAATGCATATCCCTTTTGTTCTATTCTGCATCAATGTCTTTCTGCATCAATCACTTCTTTGACTTTGGTTTATAGTAATGTATCAGCCCATTATTGAATGCAGACATGATAGACCAGGCATGGGCAAACTTTGGATCTCCAGGTGTTTGAGACTTCAAGTTTGCCCATGCATGCAACAGGCTTTCTCAATATAAATTCCTACAAACCTAAGTTCACTTACAAAGATACTCTCTAAAAGGATTCTAGCCTTTGTTTTCTCCATTAACAGAATTTTTCAGAAAGCATTCATCCTCATGCATGAGAATGGAATGGTCACATATTTACTTTCCTGGTGTAAACTCTGAAGATTTACCTCTGCGGAATTTACTTCATTTTGCCATGACAAAATCCAACACTCAAAACATTATTGCAATTGTTTTCAAAATGCTCCTTACCACATAAAAAAGACTTCCTCCAAATTTTAAGGTAAATGTCACAGCATCAATCAGTTCCTTGAAGGTTTCATCTTCAAGAGGGAAACGGTATCCGAAAGATATGGCACATATCACGTTGGAGATTGAATTTGTGATGGGCAATGCAGGATCAAATGGCTGCCCTGCAAATCAAGTTCAGTTAATATCAGTCAACCACTTAATCGTCTCAATTAGATTTTCTTTGGAGAAAGAACTCTTGGGATTTATGTGCACTTATGTTTATATTTGAGATCAACAAAAATATGACAAATTTCACATCAAAGACACACAAACTTATGCAGGTTGACGCATACCTTTTTCATGTGCAAAAACCTCTACAAGCTGTTGGGATTCCTCTTCTATTTGGCCCTCCATGCTTTTTTTCCCTACTCCCATTTTCCGCAATGTAACTATGCCAAACCGCCTCTGCTGCTCCCAGGTATGTCCATTTGAAAGTCCAACACCTGAGTGTGAAAGGAATAATAATAATATTATAAATACTTTATTTCTATATCCCACCACCATCTTCCTGAAGAGACTCAGTTCAGTTTACAATCAGGACCAAGTCCCATAGTCACAGAGTTAACCAAATAAAACACATTTAAAAACATGGGTCAACACACAACAGCTGACCAAACAATTAAACAGTAGAGTACAAAAGACATTACAATAAAACGAAATGAATCTCAATATCCAAACCCAAGGCTACAGTGAGCAATCAAAATTAAGAGATAGCGGGGGCTGGGCATTTCCAAGTAAATACTTTAGCCACCTGTGTATCTGTTGCTCCATCTGGTTATATATTTCATCAACTGTTTCAGGATTATAAAATGAGGATAAGAGTACTCCACATCAGTGTTTTGCAACCACCTCTTATGAATCTTTTGACTGTAGGGATATACCGTCCTCTAGCAGTGTATTTTTCAGCCAATCGCAGATTTTAAGATAATTTTTTTATCAAATGATGTTTACCTGATCCTTCAATCCAGCATGCAGTTCTGGTGTGTGTCATCTATCCGCCACACGCCCTTTTTTATTTTAAGATCATTTCACACATCTCTACTGGATTATATGGCAGCGTAGACACATGTAATCCAATTTAAAGCAAATGATAGGGATAATCTGCTTTGATAATCTGGATTATATGGTAGGGTACATCCACCCTGAGTGTAATTTCCAACTGATAACAACTTTCCCCTAAGGATCCTTTGCTCTCAGATTGTTTCTCTGGAGAAAGATGTAGTGCAGCTCTTCACAACTTACCCTTTCGTCTTGATATAGCTGTAATATATGGAGTCAGTGGCCGCTCTGAGAAGTCTTCCGAATGATCAATCAGTCCTTCTTTCACAGCTTCAAAGCCAGACAAAATTACAACTGGTATATGTCCCGCCCACAAAAGAAAAATGTCTCCATATTGTTCTGCCAACTGCCATTTGGGTCAAAGCAAAAAGAAGAACAGTTGCAATCAAATAAAGGAATGATTTCAGGTCAATATAGGAATAGTAACCATATTCAGATCCTCGCTTCTATTGTTTCTAGCCATAACAACATCCCCACTCCCTATTTCTGCCCTTCTCCCTCTCTCTCCAGTCTCATAAAACCATCTCCCTCAAGCCACGTACATCAGAAATGTAGTGCCTTCAGATGGGGGTGATCACATAATGTCTCTGCTCTTTTGTTATCACACTGTGGGAGACTTTTTGAAAAGTGTTTCTTTTTTATCAACTCTAAAATATCAATGAGGGTCTATTGTGCTACAATTTCCTTGGCAAAATCTCAATTGTGCTTTTCTGCCAGTCACCATAGGGTGGTCAGTAGATGAGCTTTGGGTGACTTCTTGGCAATTGGAAAAGTAACTAAGAAACCTTTAACAGCTTATTTTCTTCATCAGTGCATCTGAAGAAGTGGGATGAGGCTCATGAAAAATTATATGTGTATATATGTGTATAGATAGATGATAGATAGATAGATAGATAGATAGATAGATAGATAGATAGATGTGGAAATATGCCTGTTTGTTTGTCTGTGTGTCTCTATTTTCCAGAGACCATTGTGAACCCACTGGCAAAGGATCTAGAGCAGTTCAAAGCAGATAACCTTGGATCAGATCTTGGGATATAAGGGGTCTAGGGGCCCTTCCAGACAGGCCCTATATCCCAAGATCTGATCCCAAGTTTTCTGTTTACCCCAGATTATCTGGCAGTGCAGACTCATATAATCCAGTTCAAAGTATATAATCTGGGATCATATCCTGGGATTGTGGCGCAGCTGGCTGAGTGTCAGCTGCATTAAGATCACTCTGACCAAAAGGTCATGAGTTCGAAGCCAGCCCGGGCTGGAGTGGGTGTCCAGCCATTGTGTAGCCCGTTGTCGACCTTTGCAACCCGAAAGACAGTTGCATCTGTCAAGTAGGAAAATAAGGTACCACCTTGTGTGGGAGGCTAAATTTAACTAATTTATGAGGCCATAAAGAAAGAAGACTCCGGGGAATGTGGAATGCGGAAGAACTTCATCGGTGTCGTTGATGGACGATGAAAAGCAGCAGCTCCCCTGGCGGCCAGAAAAAAAGTTAAATAGCCTTTATCTGTTAAATGTTGTTTGTCAAACTGGCATTGAATGTTTGCCATATATGTGTTTACTGTAATCCGCCCTGAGTCCCCTGCGGGGTGAGAAGGGCGGAATATAAGAACTGTAAATAAATAAATAAATAAATAAAATAAATCTGGAAGGGCCCCAGCATGAACCTAGCACTGGATTTTCTTGGCAAAATCTCTTCAGAAGGAGGCTGCCTTTGCCTTCTTTGAGGTTGAGAAAGTGTGTCTTTCTCAAGGTCATCCAGTGACACTCCATTGCCATTTATTAGAATCCAAGTCTCCAGACTCCTAGTCCAAAGCACATGCACACAATTAATTAATTTATTGATTTCACATATTTGTATCCTGTGTAATGTATAATGATGATGATGAAGGAGAAGATGATTATGTATAATAATAGAATAGTAATTCTATCTTCCTGCCTGGCAGAAAGATGGGGGCTGGATTTTTGGTTTCCTTCCAACTGAGTTTTATAATAATAATAATAATAATAATAATAATAATAATAATAATGTCGCAGCAGATTCGTCACCCGAGATCAGATGAGTGCAATCAGGAAGGAAGAGAAAGGAGACAGCAACCGATTCCAGGCTCTTTATTCAATCAAGCTTGATTGGGTGTTCAGAATACAATATCTGACACACACTGGAAGGCAGATTTGCTCCAGCATTTATAGCATAATTCTCAGGGTTACACATGCGCATAAGAGTCTTGACATTTTCATAATCTTAATCAACATCAATTTGTCCTCGAGGAATCGCAGCCAAGAACACTTGTTGGCAGAACACTATAATTTCCACTGTTCTCCCTTCCAACAGCTGACTAAGTTCCCAGAGGACTTACATAATCTTTAGAATGAATCATCACTTCATATATTTCTCTTCATACATATGTCTTCATATAGGTATCTTTAATTTATTCAAAGCAAGCATTTTCCTTATTAATTCTTCTTAATTATATTCACAATACATTCACAATATATCCATAATACATCAGGTTTTCCAATTGATCATTATAAAAAAGTATATTCAATTTGTCTACTTCAACCAGACAGGAGATGGCGCTCTTAGATCATACTTTCAGGTGTTTGTTCTTTTTAGATCAATAGTTATCAATTTGTTCTTGGCACCACTCTTTGACCTTCCGAATTTAGCTTAGTTCCGGCCTTGGCTTCTTCAAATATTGACATAAGATAGAGCCAGCCTGAAAGGTTTCTGAGTCATCTGTTAACTTTCCCTTCTACCAAAGACTCTACTTTCTACCTCAAGAACGGACAGGTAAGCCTTTCTCCTCATTATTTTCATTTTAAATTATAATTATTTTATTTCTCCCCGTACGGCCACCACATTCCCCCCTTTTGCGAGCGAATGTTCCACAGTAGCATCGCAAACTCAGGATATCAAATTCTTATTTTAACAAACGATTTCAATATAATCAACCAAAATCATTTATCACAATTATTGAAGAATGTCCCATACACGTAGGCACTTCCACAGTGCTCCTCAATCTTCTGTCTGATTTATTTGACCAGCTTCCAGGTATGTGGTCAAAACCAGAGCCGTAGTCCTCTTTCTGGTCCTCATGGCGCTGTTGGTTTGACGGTATGAAGTCTCAGGGGATCTTTTTGCTCAGGAGTCGCAGTCCACTCAGGTGGTGCCTTTTTTATTCTGGTGTAATGGATCCAGGCTTTGATTCCTTCCACTTTGACAGCTGTGGGAGTTGAAAGCAAGACAGTAAAAGGCCCTTTCCATTTTGGTCTTAAAGGTTCTATTCTCCAGTCCTTAATCAGCACTGAATCCCCTGGGCGGAAAGAGTGTAAAGGAGTAGCTGGCCAAGGTGGTCTTAGTTCTTCAGTGTATTGTTGAAGTTGGGCTATGGCCAGCCCTAATGCTTGAACATCCCTTTTTAATGCTTGTTGTCCCAACTGATTGATATCTCCTTGAAGATGCCTCAATCCAAGGGGAGGTCTTCCATACATAAGTTCAAAAGGGGACAGGCCCAAAAACTTAGTAGGAGTACACCTAATATGTAGCAAGGCCATAGGCAGTAACCTAGTCCATGGCAAGTGAGTCTCTTGGCACATTTTTGATAATTTTCCTTTTAAAATTTGATTCATCCTTTCTACTTTTCCTGAGCTCTGAGGTCGATATGCACAATGTAACTTCCATTTTGTTCCCAATAGTCGGACCAAGGACTGTAAGACTTCTGATACAAAAGCAGGACCATTATCTGAACAAATGTGCAAAGGAATCCCATATCTTGGGATAATGTCTCTAAGAAGTGCCTTTGACACTTCAGCTGCCTTTTCAGTTCTAGTTGGATATGCTTCAGGCCATCCAGAATGAGTACATACAAACACAAGCAAATACTTATGAGGCCCACATTTTGGCATTTCAGTGAAATCTACTACTAAAGATTCAAAAGGTGTATTTCCTTGATATTGAACCCCTGGAGGTGGCATTGGTCCTGTTCTGGGGTTATTTTTAGCACAAATATGACATCTGGCTGAGGCTATTCCTGTTAGGGCAGTGAGTCCATTTATGTAAAGTTGTCATCCCAGTAGTGAGGCCAAAGCTGTTTTTCCCATATGGGTTTCTTGGTGTGCCTCCTTAATCATTTCCCAAGCTATCTGTCTGGGTACAAACAGCCTCTGGTCAGGCAACACCAACCATCCATCTTTCCTTACAGCTTTCTCACGCTGGGCCTATTGTTCTTCTTCTGGAGTATATAGCAAGTCATCTTTCCTTAACCAGTCTCTTACCTGCAAAGGGGCCATGACCGGCTCTTGTCCTCGTCCCTTTCGGGCCGCGGCCTTTGCGGTAGTGTCAGCATACCAGTTTCCAAAGGTCACAGGATCCTCGCCATATTGATGTCCTTTACAATGCATCACTGCTACTTTAGCAGGAATCCAGACAGCATCTAGCAATCTCAGAATGGTCTCACTATGTCGTATTTCTTTCCCAGCAGAATTTAACAGTCCCTTTTCTTTATATAAAGCTCCATGTGCATGCAGAGTAGTAAATGCATATTTTGAATCTGTATAAATGTTGACTGTTTTTCCTTCTGACAATTCAAGAGCTCTAATTAGGGCTATCAGTTCTGCCTTTTGAGCTGATGTGTTTAGAGGAAGTGGTTCTGCCTCCCATACAGTGGTTGCAGTTACTACAGCATATCCAGCATACCTTTGTCCATTTTCAACAAAACTGCTTCCATCTGTAAAAAGAGTGGCATCCGCCTTAGGCCAAGGTTGATCTTTTAGGTCAGGCCTACTGGAATATATCTCATCCATAGTTTCCAAACAATTATGTTGAAGCAATTCTCCTTCAATAGGCAGGAGTGAAGCAGGATTTAATGTACTGCAAACCTGTAACTTGATTCGAGGGTTTTCACATAATAAGGTTTGATATTTTAACATACGGCTATTTGTGAACCAATGATGTCCTCTATATTCCATAATAGCCGTTACTGAGTGAGGAACCTTAACTACTAATTCTTGTCCTNCTGAGTCCCCTGCGGGGTGAGAAGGGCGGAATATAAGAACTGTAAATAAATAAATAAATAAATAAAATAAATCTGGAAGGGCCCCAGCATGAACCTAGCACTGGATTTTCTTGGCAAAATCTCTTCAGAAGGAGGCTGCCTTTGCCTTCTTTGAGGTTGAGAAAGTGTGTCTTTCTCAAGGTCATCCAGTGACACTCCATTGCCATTTATTAGAATCCAAGTCTCCAGACTCCTAGTCCAAAGCACATGCACACAATTAATTAATTTATTGATTTCACATATTTGTATCCTGTGTAATGTATAATGATGATGATGAAGGAGAAGATGATTA